GAGAGAATTTTTTAATATTTATTTTTAATTTTCGGTGGACACAACATCTTTTTATTTGGTATTTTGTATGTGGTGCTGAGGATTGAACCCAGCACTGCGTGCATGCCAGGCGAGCGTGCTACGGCTTGAGCCACATCCCCAGCCCATACAATTCTTAATACACATATATTTCTAAACACTTTGCTTGAGACAAAAGCCGTCTTTCATTGCTTTCAGAAAACTCTGGTGTCTCTCACTGTGTCTGTTCGTGGATCCCTCCTCTGTGTTACTGCCTGAGTCTACAGCTGCATTCTGGCACTGCCACACAGCTGTCATCCTGCATCCTCCCAACTGTGTCATCTAGGAATTCCTTTTGCTTCTACTTCTCTCCTGTGTAGACTCTATTTGCTGCATCCGACTTTTCCTCTTTTTGAGGGGAGAGGTTATTCTTGTGGTTTAGTAAATACACTTTCCCATCTTAAGAAGAGGAATAAATGCTAAATTTCTTGAGAATTTACATATTTGAATATATCTCGATTTACTAGATTAGGCATGTTTGGTTGGGTATAGAATATTATATAATTGTATATTATTTTCTCTCAGATTCTTGAACACATTATTTAATTTTCTTTTGCTTCCAATGTGCCTATGGAGAACTTCCATTCCTCTCTGATCACTAATCTCTTAGAGGTTTTTGTGATTTTCTCTTTGTCCTCACTATTTTGATTTCTTCTTGCTTTGCTATGATATGCGTCTGCTTTCATTCCTGGGCCATGGGCACACAGCAGGTATTTTCCAATCTGGAACCCTATGTGCTTCAACTCTGCAAAATGTCTTATAAAATTTCTTTGAAATTTTTGTCTTCTCCATTTGCTCTGTTCTTTCTTTCTGGAAATCCTAGTATTCTAAAATGTGGGATATACCAGATTGATCCTCACATTTTCTAATCTATCTTTATCCATACTTTGGCTTTTTCTAGTTCTAATACCTAGGACATTTACTGAAATTTCCCTTCCAATTTTTTTTAACTTCTGCAGTGATAGTGTTAATTTCCAATAACATTTTATTGGTTTTATCTTGGTTCGTTTTTTATAGCATTATATGTACAAATCTTACTTAAATGTTTATAAACAAATACAATGTGTATTCTGTCTTCTTTTTTTACAATAAAGGTAGCTTACCATATACAGTTTTGCTTTTTACTTTTTTTCAGGTAACATGTTGGAGGTCTTTATGTATTAGAGAGGTCTATTCTATACCCAACCAAACATGCCTAATCTAGTAAATCGAGATATATTCAAATATGTAAATTCTCAATACATAAAGACCTTTTGTTTCTAATTGCTGCATCTTGAAGTGCAAATCAGTTTGTTGGGTTCCCTAATGACAGGCCCAGGTTTCTGCTTTTTCTTTTCTGTTAGTTCCAAATATCTATTCACCTCATTTCTGAAATATAGATATTTTGTCTCTTATCTTTTTTCTCTCATTTCCCTTATTCATATAGGCTTATGCCTTTTTAAATTTTACTTACTTAAATTTAAGTGTTAGTTTGCAAGAAAGGTAATAAATGTGTGCATTTAATCTATCATGCTTAATTAGAAGTCCCTAGAGCATCTTTTGAAAAATTAAGTTTTTGACTTTTTTCCTTTTCCTTACTTGCACACTAATAATTCTCTGAAGTTTTATTTAGAGGAATAAATATAAATAAGAATTATAACTTTCCAATGATGATGACCAAATGCTTATAGAACACTGTGAATAAGCTAAGTGGCATATTAGTCTGTTTTGCATTACTATTACAAAATATCTGAAGCTTAGTAACTTTATAAAGAAAACAGGCTTATTTTGGCTCATGTTTCTGGACATCTGATTTTGATGGGTCACATCTAGTGATGACTTTCTTGCTGGTAGAGTGCCAAGGTGGTGCAGGGCATCACATGGTGGAAATTAGGGAACACAGATATAAATATCCTCTGGTTCTCCTCTTCTTATAAAACCGTCAGCACTGAATCATGGGGGCTCCACCCTAATGTCCTTATCTAATCTTAATGACCTCCCCAAATCCCCATTTCTAAGTATCAGAGTTGAATTATTTCCATCCTCTTGATAACTCACAACTGGGATTAAAGTTCAACACATGAAACTGCATACCATATCCAAGCCATAGTAGTAAGCAAGCAAGATTTTGAGGTCAGAAAACCACAATTGGGGCTCTCTGCATTCAAGCACGTTCTCATGTCAGGGAGAACCATTACCAGAAACAGTTTGGTCTTCTCTTATAGTAGCAACGCCCAGGAATTTAGTGGTGTGTAGGCTTTCCCACCATAAGGAGGTAGCTTCTCTCTGAAAGCTTTTTAACTCAAATAAAAAATGAATGAACCTATTCAGAGGATAATTCATTTAAAAATCAAGGCTATTCCATGCCTTGAATTTGTTTTTGTTTTTGTTTTTGTTTTTTAGTTGTAGGTGGACACCATACCTTTATTTATTTATTTTTATGTGGTGCTGAGAATTGAACCCAGTGCCTCATACTTGCCAGGCAAGTGCTCTACCACTGAGCCACAACCCCAGCCTGTACTTGGGGGAGGTATCATGTATTTGGGAGGTATCATGTACAGAGAGGAAAACAGCCTTATCACTCCCTATTTGCCTTATTTTCTCAAAGATTTACCTACTTATGGTTTTTTAACATGCTAATTAGTAATCACTTACCCAAATAAAAAGCATTTTTCCTTAAACTAACTAGAAAATAAAATGTGTCACCAGAGATCTTGTTTTAATCAAGTATGAAAATCTCTTGCCTCCATTCAGCCATCAGTACTGTTCTATCTCGTTTGATCTGATAAAATCCTCTTGACTGTAGGATGCCTGGATTCCAATCAGTGTGATTGAGAAATTACTCTGGAGCCAAATGCAAATGTGCTCAGCAAGTATGCGTTGTGACATGACTCTTGCTTTTATTGTTGAAAGAGTGGTATATATGAAAAGAAAATAATTTGCCTTTTGGAATGAAGTGTTCTTCAGTTGTGGTTTGTGTGTGGATAATTTTAATTTTTGGTGAACTGTTCAGTGGCATTGTCTTGTAACTGGACCATAGTTTTATCTAATTTTGGCCTGTGGTTTCTTTTCTATTTAGACATAATGACATCAATAGAACAATGAAGAAATCTTACAGCATAAAGCACATTGATGAGCCAGAGTCAAAAGAACTCTTTTTGTAAAGCCCTTTTCTATTTCCTCTCACTGATGCCCTTTGGACACCATTGGAAATTACTGGACTATCCTCTGTGGAAACAGAACCACAAGAACAATGCCTCACCAGCCGAAGAACAGAATATCAGGATGCCTTAAATTTATATTAGACTCTGTCATATACATTTTTGGGTGATATCTGTATATATATATATATATCTTGTTTTTCACAAGATGCTGTTTAAAAGCATGACTGTTTTTAACGTATGTATGTTTTTAACGTTGGATTGGCACCCCGTGCACAGGACATTCACCAAGCCACTGACACCGTCTTGAATTTCAACAGTTGCATGAGTATTTGCTAATGTTAGTTGAACTTCCCTTCTCCCTTAACATGGGCAGTGTTGGCTCTGTTCCTCAATAAGACCAGGTCAGTGGTATTGTTTTCTGTCATGAGTGTTTTTTCTGTCATTTCTACTTTTTGTATAAAGGAAATAAAAAAAAATGTTAACAGCCACCTATAAGCTTGGGGCACCAACTTTCTAATAAATCTGTGATGTTCTGATTTCTAAGGGACTTTGAAAGTATTTTGATTGCTGATATTTGATTTCAAGAACAAACTGCTTGGTTTAACTGTTTTCCCATAGGGGTCAAATAAAACATTCTATATTTCATTAAATACTAAAGGATCCGACAAGTAAAGTAAGCCAGTCCTTCTGCTTTCCCAGATCTTGGCGCTGACATGGGAAAATACAAATGACAACCAAGGATTTAGTCCCTTCTTGGGTCACTTTTTTCTTTTGCTTCCAACACATTATAAGCCTTGTCTAATCCCTTTAGGAGACAGTGTGGAGCCCCAGTTCATAAGAGGCTTATTGTTGATGCAGCTCTTTCAATCCATGTAAGCAGTAAGTTCCAAAAGGTTTCATCTTATCATGTAAAAATATATTTCTGTTGAAACTTCAAGAGTTTTATTTTCAAAGCATTGGCATGGCCTATAAGAGGTCTGACAAGTTTTAGTTTGAAAGTAGAATGTATTCTTACCAGTAGGAGGGAGCACAGTGTGCTAGCAATGTTAGGTAGTCTCATGTGGACCATTTTGCAACCCGGTATGCAGAGTAGACTGAATCCAGAGGCAATCTTCCCTGTGTGGATCAGCCTGGGGTTGATGAGATGCAGTGAGGTATGAAAGAAGGTTTTAATATTTGAGTGCCTTTGATGTACCAAACACTATTATGTGGTGATGCCACTACTTGCATTTTATAGATTTGAAAATTAAACTTAAGCAAGTTTAATTCCTGTGTCCGATGTAACACTTCTAGTAAATAGCATAGCTAGGCTTTGGTACGATTTTGCTCTTGAGCCCACTTCATTATCCTGTCCTTTCTACACTATGCTGTCTCATTAGTGCATTGACTAATACACAGGAGCATGAGTTCTGGAGTTGGCTCTACTTCCAGAGGACTCTTCAGTCTTGGACTGGGGACAGGGCCTCCTCAAGAAACCTGGAAAAGGGCAAGATTGGCCTACATACACATCTAGGAGGTAGTTTCCTTCCAACTTAGAGAGCAACATGTCTATGGATTTTAGCCAGCTGGCTCTGTCCTTGTTTGGGCCCTGTAAATTCCTGCTATTAGAGCCTGGTGCCATGTGTACTTCTGCGTTTCTCACAGTCTTGTTCTCAAATAAGAGACTGTGTCTCAGATTTTGGTCCTTTGGCTTCATCTACCCTCTTTGATTGATCCTCATATTTCATGGTTCTGTCCTGTTGCTCGAGATTCTAATAAGAGAATATGTGGCAAGCCCATAGCATTTCCTGTGGTTTTTGCTTGGTTCAGAGGTGACATGAGTCACATAAGGGTGACTTTTAGGACTGGGCCCAGATGGGACCCAAATAGTGCTCACTCTGTCCCCAGGAGGTCCCCGTTTGGTTCTGAAACTGTGTCCTTGGAAGTGAAAGATGAAGGGATCTGGGCACTCTACAGAGATTGTCTAAGCAAGACATATGGATCAATTAAACATTAAGCAAGACATATGGATCAATTAAACATAGCAAAGAAAATTCTAAGAGTTTAAAAGACATTACCTGACAATTCAACTGTTTGACGCCAATAACATATTAGACCCCACAGTATTTTTTTGATATTTTTTTTTAGTTGTAGCTGGACACAATATCTTAATTTATTTAGTTTTATGTGGTGCTGAGGATTGAACTCAGGGCCTTACACATGCTAGGCAAGCACTCTACTGCTGAGCCACAATCCCAGCCCTAGACCCTACAGTATTAAGTAAAGAAAAGCAAAGAATAAAATAGGTAAAATATAAAAGTTGAACAGATTCAAATTGGCCAGACTGCAATACAGAGCTTTCTATGTATAATGATGTTGCTAGGACACTAAAAATGCTGACCATTAAATTACACGTGTACATATCTTTACTGTCCAACTTCCTTATGAAATGGATAAATTGTGGTTACTTGAAATTGATAGAGATGAGGTTTTTCTTACCACAAACTTAGTCTTCTGTGGCATTTTAAAAATGAAAACACAAACTTATTTTTCTATAGGAATTGAAACACATTTACATGTTAAAGAAAAAGAGTGGGATTCCTTTTAGTAAGTAGAGCTTTGTGGCTCCTGCCCAACTCCCTCCCATTGGGCTAATAAAATGAGTAAAGCTCTATCTGCATGCCTAATTACATGCAGCAGAGTGGGAAACTCAGTTCCAGTGTTAAAAAAAAAAAATCACAACATCTGTCAGCATCTTTTAAAGATTGGCTTCTTTAATGTCTCTAAAGAGATTTGTATTTCCAAAGTTCAACACATCAAATTAAGAATGTTTCTTAGAAAAGATAACAAGACACCAAACCATCACCACTTTGAACAGATTGAATTTCCATTATTTATTCTCATTAAACATTAGTATCAAGATTTTGACCCTAACAAAGTTCTGGATGTGCATCATGGGTTGGGAGTAGGGATGCAACTCTCAAAGGATATCTTCAAGTAAGATTTTGAGAAAATGTTCTCCGAAGTGGATAATCAGAAACAACATGATGATATAGGATAGAGAAAAAAACTATAAAAATACTCAATTTCTGTGATACAAAAAAATATTTAATTTCCTAGATACACAATGGGTTTAAGGTGTTTTCTTCCATGTCCAATGTATGCTTGAGACTGATATCAGTTGATAAAGCTAAGTAAGAATAAGAAATTTAGGGGCTGGGGATGTGGCTCAAGCGGTAGCACGCTCGCCTGGCATGCGTGCAGCCCAGGTTCAATCCTCCAGCACCACATACAAACAAAGATGTTATGTCCGCCGAAAACTAAGAAATAAATATTAAAAATTTCTCTCTCTCTCTTTAAAAAAAAAGAATAAGAAATTTATTTCAAGAGTTGGTACCATTTCCACCCCTCCCCCATAAAAATGGAGTTCACTCTCTCTGCTACTGCTCATAACAGTCATTTTTAAACTCTATGTCCTGTGTTACCTTTATTTCCTTTTTTTCTTTACTGCATAGTTTTACATGACTTTTCCAGCACTTGATTCCGATGTCCCAGTGGGATGAGAAGTTCATTGATCTCAACAGCATCTCAACATCACTTCTCATAGATGGTGGTTAGTAAATACCTGCTAATGATTTTTTCAACACCCATGTGTCTGTTTTTCTTTTCATTTCTTCCTCAGTTTTCTTTTTCCCCTTTCTCTCCTTTTCTTCCCTTGTCTCTTTCTCCCACTTCCATTCTCTCCCTTACTTTCTCCCCTCCCTTACATTCTTCCCTCCCTTCTTTTATTTCCCTCACTCTTCTCTACCCTCTGTTCATAAAATCTCAAAACCTCACATACAGGATCTTCCTTGAAAGAATACTGGCAAAGGAATTACAGGAAGTAGAATCATGCCAGACCCAGGTATTTTATAAAAAAAAAAAAAAAAACCAAAGTGAGTCACCACTCCCTCCTGGCCATGCATATAAGTAGAAGAAGCATCTTTCTGTATGCTGATGAATTCAGCAAATGGTAATTGAGCCCATACCAGGCACTGGGCTGGATACTCCCTTTGATTATCAATCTGCCCAGATGTCCTGGAAACTAGGAATGGCCTTGTGACTCAGTCTAGTCAATAAAAGATAAGTAAAATTCCTAGAGGGGGTTCAAGAAATATTTTACAGTAAGAAGTTTACCTGACACTAATATTTTGTGCCTTGTGATTCACTCTTCTTTCTCTCTGGTGTAGAATACAGACTGTTTAGTCCTAAGGACAGAAATCTGATGCCAAGGAGTGGAAAACAGGGAAGAAAGAGGGAATCTGTTTCTTGAGCATCTGTATAAGCTCTGAACTGTACCCTGTATTATTTGTTGAGTAAAAATAAACTCTCTTAATGGACTAAATCACTGATATCTGACTTTGCACAGGACAAGCCAAATATAAAACCTAGTGCTCATACTCAGTTGACAGAATAGTGTATACATGCACATCATTGGAATAAAGCAGCATCGCATGTCACTGTATTCTATTTACTGCCAAGTCTGGGGGACATTTGGTTGTGCTCTATGATTAAAATATGTTTTGCTGGTTAGATGAACAGCGCATACAAAATCCTATACAACCATGTGAAACCACCTTCCAAAACAAAAGATATATTCCCCAGGTGCTGACAGTACTGAAAGCCCAAAGCCCTCATGTGTTGACCTTCTCTAAGAATCACCCTTGGCTGAAGAGAACACACCCTTGCCCAAGAGCATACTCCTTCCTCAGGCAACCTGTATGCAATGACTGGTCAGTATGGAAATACACAGGTCCAGCCCTTCACCCAACTCTGGACAACTCCAAAGAGCCATCTCAACTTAAGAACTAACCAAGGGTTTGGCCCAGCTTCTTCCTCTGCCTAATCCCATTTCCTTACCTTTTTCCCCTTCTCCTTTCATAAATGTTGATCCCAAGAGCCACTGCAATAAAATTCCTGCACACTAATCTGGACGTCATAATTTATTTACCAGGAAATTCCATCTATGACAGAATTTTAGCATGCTTAAGTATTGAAGAAGTCCCAGAGTAGGACAGAAACTTGTTTAGTTGTGTTTGGTGCTTAAAGTGATGTGTATATCAGAGGACTTTTCTTTAAAAAACACCTCACACATCCCTCAGAGTGGTTTATCTCTTAATATTTTGAGGACATACTGTAATCGATTTCAGATCATTATATCTATGTGGAATTTAGACCATTCTCCCATTAGGAAGGTCCAGGGTCAAACCAAAATATGTGCATTAGGGAAGAACTATTTAGACAAATTTCAAAGAAATGTAGTTAAAGTTATATTCTATTTGAGTATAATTTCATTTGTTTGGTAACAATGTTAAATTGAAAATATAGTAGCCTGTGTCATTAGTATTAAAATGTGCCATTCCCGGGATCCTTCCATACACTCTGGGCCCAGATGTAATCCATCAACTTCATTTTGTTGCTGATGGGTAAAGTATACCCCATGTCTTTGCAGAAATATCATCTCTGCTCTATGGCATTTATCAAAAATCAATATAGGAAATAGCCATATAGAAAAAAAAGTTTCTTTTTTTTTTTATAAAACTGTTACTGAAACCATCAGATGTTTTAAAAGTCAATGGTTCTATAAGGGGCCATAAAATAAATTCCTCTTAGAGTTAGTGCTAGGGGAAAATATGCCT